AATGTTTCTATTTTTGTAGAGTTTTATCTGAATCCCTGCTGTTAGTTGTTTATTGTTTCAGAAAATTGGATCTTTAAGAGTCTGTGTCATTACTCTAGGCAAGGCAAGGCCTAGAGCTAATATTTGTATAGCACAATTCAGTACAAAGACAATGCAAAGTGCTTTACATGATTAAAATACAGGACGCTAAAACAGAATCAAAGCAAGTAGGAAAAAAAAAAATAAATAAAATAAAAAATGCAGACACAAAAAAGAATATTAAAAACAGTTGGACTAAAGAAAATATGTTTTAGTTGAGCTATTTAACTAGAACAGTCTAAGGCAATCCTAAACAAATGTGTTTTTAGTCTTGATTTAAAGGAACTCAGGCTTTCCGCACTTTTACAGTTTTCTGTACTCTAGGTGACAAATAACAAATTAGTCAATAATCGGTTCATCTAATCAATCTTCTCAGCCCTAATTTTTTTTTGCATTTGATTTAAAACTCTGTCACATGAGGGTTCTTACTTTAAGATCTTTTTGTAATGTTTGTTTTTCTTCTAGATGTTAAAGTCATGACAACAGAAGGTTATTAACCATTAAAAAAATTTAATGTTTTAAAAAAAAAATCAGTAACTGCTTTAGTCGAGGAAAGGTATGGAAGATGATTAGGACCATTGGGAAAATAAAAATGAATCAAACAGGAAGCTGCCTATTTCTGACTTTAATCTCAGGAATCTGATTTTAACTTCAGTTTATTATCAAAGTAAAAATCCTGGACTTTGGCATTACAATCCTAAACTCTGGAAGGACTTGGAGTTTGAATATTGTAGCAGAATGTGAAGAAATGTGTGGAAGAAGTTTGAATTTCTAGACTGTGAATCATATTACTTCTAGTTTCTCCATCAAACTCCAGTTAGTTTTTAGTTTTTTACTTGTTTCAGGTAGATTTCTGTCCCATTCAATCCTTTTGTCTCAAAATCACAGTATTTCTAACCAGTAACTGGGAATTAATGGATCCTTATTTTAGCAGTTTTAGGGTAATCTAACTTTGTCCTGATGCCAAATAGAAAAATTCCAATGTGACGCAGCGGAATTGAAAGCCAGTTTCCTGTTATTTTAGGAAAATAGGCAGATAATGGACTCTATGCACAACTCCACTACTTCCTGAACTTAAGGAAGCTCTTTTTTTTCTGTCTTTGGCTGAATCCCAAACTTTCCCTCCAACGGAAAAGGAAAGCAGTCGTTGCTATGGTAACACAGTGATGTGCCATGTGGTGGGCTGTAGCACTGGGTGACATTAAAATATAACTTTTGCCCCTTTCTTAAAAAAATGTTTATAGTCAGGATAAAGCTATTTCAAAGTGGACCTTCCCTTTTGGAATGATTTATATTTTTTCGTATCTTTTTTGTCAGTGTGATGAAGATGCTGCAAACAATTTTAACCGAGATCCAACTTTACCCACTGATCCAAATGTTTTGTTTGCTTGTTGCTGTTTTTTTCTCTGCTCTCCAGGTCCATCCTGATCTGAGCAAGCAGCTGCTGCAGGATGGCTACCATCTGGATGAGATTCCTGACGATGAAGACCTGGACCTGATTCCTCCCAAAGCCATGGGCTCCTCTGTGTGCTGCTGCTTCCAGGGCCCATCCTGCCCCATGCAGTGACTCTATGTGCAGCTCTGCAGGGACAACGCTCTTCTTTTCACTGCAGCAGAGCTGCTGCACGGCGCCTGAGGAGATCCAGCTCTGATGAGGAACTGCAAACACTGAGCGCTGACATCGTTTAGCCTCACCGAGAAGGCAGAAGGACCCAAGAGCAAGCCTTATCCACTGTGACTCCAAAGCCTAACTAATTGTATTTATTCATCCTGTTTCTGCAGCTTTACACAATAGCGTAAACCACGACCCTGCTCTGGTTGAGTGATGGAGTGTTTCAGCATTAGTGATAAGACCGTGTTGACTCAAGGAGGTGCTGGCGAGCTCATTTCCTGCAGCCCTATGAGCATCTCAGACAGCCCAGACCGCTGCTGTCTGAGATGTTTTAGCTCTTTGACGAGTCGCCACTGTCTGTTACCGTTGAATGACGCAATGGCAACTAACTGGAACACGTTATTATTGTTCATTTTTATTTTTTAGCGCTATTGGATTTTCTACCTGGGGAAACAGAAACACTAACCAACAAAAAGAGCCTCCTAGAAGAGAAGTGGAGCATCCTAAGAGGTGCTCTCTTTCTGTTTGCCTGCTGTCGAAGGCTCAGAATATATCTGCATCTTTTCATTGACTTCCACACCAGTTTAAAATACATTTAAGAGACGATAAAAACGACAATTTAAATCTGTCTGGATTCACTTTGAGCATTTGATAAAACTACATTAACATGCCTCCACATCAGATTTAATTTGCATTATTTATTTATCATCATATTTAATGTTTATACTAAAATCAGAGTTATTTACAGTTCATTTATAATTTACATTTTTCATTTATATTCTTTTTGTGTTTTCTTTGGACAAAAGTTGAGACTTCTAACACTTTAGAATGTATCTGTTCATTTTCATTTTTAAACTTTAACAGTTTTTATCAGAGATGCACAGATATCAGCTGCATCTGTTTGAAAAGTGCACGGCTGCTTCAAAGTCAGGATAAAAACCTTCCTGTTTACTGTTAAAGAAATGCCCCCCCCCCCCGCCATACACTGTATGGGTTTAATGCTAGTCACCGAATGCTTTATATGGACCTACTGGGTTTTTATCGGTTTAACCCCACGTCTTGCTCTGCAGCGTGTTTTGACATTTATTCAATTTTGCACTTAACACCAATTGCCAGTAGCAAGTACACCTGACTCACCTGTACTATGCAACTATGGGACAATCTGCTCGTCGTACAAGGTTGTGTTATTGAGTGCTGATGCAATAAATAAATGTCTTGTTTGTTTAACATCTGTAAATACTCTATTCCCCTGTTGTACTTTATGGGTTTACATTCTTAGCAACAAAAAAAGGAAAATTCAATTAAAAATGTTTTGTATTTGTGTTCGTTTACATTACCTGAATTATGTACACCACAGCGTCTTTCAACTTTTTTTCCACACATTTTTTGCATCTCTGTTGTCTCTCTCTGCTATTCCAGATATCAGGAGTCCTTTAAAGATGACTATAGCTTCTACTATTTAGAACGTTTGAGGCTGTTTAGGATGATTCCTTTTCAGAAACGAGTAGAGCGAGCTTTTAAATCATTTAAACAACGCTTTGTTTTCTTTGATGGCAAAATACTCTCCCCCCTCCTTTAATTAGAAATACCATTCAGACTTTGAACAAATCACAAACATTGGGTTATTACCAAGTGCTTCAGCTTTTAAGACTTTGTTTTTATAACATTCCAGTTTATTCTGAAAGCTTTTGAAATACCACCTCTGAGCTGCAGCCAATGACGTTAACGCCTGCTGTTTGATTGAGCTCCAACTTGCCGCTTTTCAAAAAGGTTTTGTCTGCTATTGCATCATTAAGAAAGGCACCAAATTACATGTAGAAGAAAGGACATTTAAATTCCTCAAAGTCAAGCAACACAAAATGTCTCCAGTAAACATAAACTTCATATTAAATCAAGTTTGCAAAGATTTCCAAACGCAAAATAAATAGCTGGACTCTCCTGCATCAAGTGTATTTTATGCAAATGAGTTAATTTTCAAAGGAGGTATGGGTATGCATTGTTCCCTCGCCTTAAAGCCAGAATTTATTGGATATTTCAAGAGAAGGAAGAGATTGGTACCAATATTTCAAAATGGAGCTGCATATGAATATTCCGTAAAAATTCCAAAAATATCCACTGGACTTGGTTTCCAAGATTTGAAGACGTTTCTCCACCTCTCCAGGAAGCTTTCTCAATTCAAATGTCTGGATCCGCAGTGAGTTTGAGTCTTATATAGACAAAGCCTTGTATTGCTTGGAAACATGCAAATGGTAACCGATGAATGGGTCGTTTGGTTCCATTTGAATTGAGAAAGCTTACTGGAGAGGTGGAGAAACGTCTTCAAATCTTGGAAACCAAGTCCAGAGGATATTTTTGGAATTTTTACGGAATGACTATGACCTGGATGACTGAGAACCTTCATCAGCATATTGCATATGAATACTAATGCAAATACTATTCTGGTTCTGCTGGAGGTTTCTTCTTGTTAAAAGGGAGTTTTTCCTCTCCACTGTTACTAAAAGCATGCTTAGTTTGAGGTATTGCATCCCGATGCAATCAACTGGTTTTCCTGAGATAGAAAACTGAATCAATCTGACTGTATGATCTGATTGAACTGTAAAGTGCCTTGAGATGACATGTGTTGTGTGAATTGGCGCTATAAAAATAAAGTGAATTGAATTGAATCAATACATTAGATGCAGGCATATTTTTTAAAATGTGGTCATTTCCGTATTTAAATCCGTTTTTAATACTTTTGTGTTATAAAATTATGCACGGATTTATTTATTTTTATTTTTTTTTAACATTCAGCCATAATCATCTGAATTGTATGAAATGAACGAAAATGTTTTTGCATTACCGCAATATAAATCCGCTAGGGGGCAGCATAGAGCTTTGCTGCTTTCCTGAATTGCCTGTTGCAGCATAAGAACACTTCCAAGTTTTTCCTCAGTGAAGTTGGAAGGTTTTTCATATAATATATATAAAAAACATTTATCTACAACAAAAAATCTGCAACGTTTGACTGTAAAAGTAAACACCCCACTGCATCAATACATGTGGCAAAATACAATTTTTATTTAGATCCAAATAAACTTAGATTAAAATCAGGAAGCAGAAATCTCTGCAATGATGAAGTTCTAATAACCCACAGATATTTTCTTTCTAGCCACATAAGGGTTAAGCAATAATGAAATTACTGTCATTTAATAATTAAATTAAGTGGAAATGGTAGATACTTGTTGCTATCGCTGGGCGGGCCTAATGCGCCATGGGGGGTGGGGGGGAGATCAACTCAACTGGGGAAAAAAAAAAAAAAAAAAAAAACGACAGGGAGTTACCTCAGCGCTTTCCGAGACATGAGATCGGCTCATTTACCAGCCTGTTTCCTTACCTGTTAAAGAAGGAAATCACGAATTTCAGCAAAGCGAAGGGAAACAGGCAGAAAGACGGATAAAGCTGGAGAACTGCTCCAGGAAAAAACAAACAAAACTCAACTAAACGCGGCGGATCGCTCCTTTTTCTCCTTCTACCGGCGGAGCAGTGGGAACCTGAGGGGCGTGCAGGCGTGTTTACAAGTGTTTGAACGAGTGCCAGAGACCAGGAGAAGGAGGATAAAAGCCCAAAGGAAGGAGGGATGGTGGACAACTCCAGCAGCGGCAGCAAGGCGCAAATGGTGAGTCCTGGCTGCGCTCTCAGGCTGTGCGCCTCTCTGCGCCTTTAACGCGTCATTCAGCCACAAGGAGCTGAATGCTGAGCGCTTAGTTTACCAGACAAGCAGGACAGCAAAGTTTAAAGAGGTAACCTGATCTCATACTCAGTTTATTCTGTTTTATTTTATATATAAAGTACTTTCATTAATGCAATCCTTTTTTTTTCTTTGTGAAAAGGATAAGTTGGGGACTTGGCACGTTTGCATGTTATCTGGTGCTTATCTGGCATTTTGAGGATGTGGCAGCCAGCTCCATTTAATACGCAGGAGGGGCTTTAATTAGGTCTTATGTTATTTGCTTGTTATGATAGCAGTGATGCTGCACGCATGTTTAATTCCAGTGGGGATATTTCCACCTTTACTTTTAAGTAAATTTTTTTAAAGGGTCCAACTGACCTTCTTTCCGTTTGGTACTTTTCAAAAATTGATTCACTTTCTCAGGATGAGAAGGTGAACCTCCTGGTAATCTCCCCCATGTTTTTTCACTTCTTACATCTGCTAACTTTAAGTTAAACCAGGTATGTCCGTTTATTTTTCATTGTAATTCAATATTTACGTTATTTATGCAGATGAATGGTCAGAAAGATATTAATTTTAATTACCCTCGGCTTCAGTTCTTTATACTACAAACTCTAATCTACCCCCTAAAAGTGCCAAAACGTTAATTTATTAGATGGCAGACTTTCTAAGCAGTAGAAATTGTCCAAACAGGAACAAACTATCACCTCTAGTAGGTATTCTACCTATTGTAGTGAGGTTGGTACCTGACATCCAGCAGGAGAACTCACACATTTAAGTTTAAAAAAGCAAAAAAATCCCCCCAAAAAAATCACTAACCAGCAGCTCCCTTGTCAAGTTTTCAGCCTTGATATAAAAACTATTTCCCCACCATTGCAGCGCTGATTGGTCTTGGTCATTTTTTAGAAAACTTTTTGGACAGAAGAAAGAACCTGATGCCACCAAACCAAAGCTTCATTGATTGTTGGTTAAGTCCAGATATAGCAATAAACCTACTATTAATAAAAAGTTATTTTCTATAGAATATTCTGTTAGAATATGTGGTTATGGATCCTGTAAATTATATTGTTAACAGGCGGCCGATTGGAGTTAGACTTAGACAGATTTAATCTGTCATTTTGTTTACTGAAGTGTAAAACAAAAAGAAATTTCGCTTGGAAAATTGGACAATTTCATCATCAAAAGTGCAGCCTTGAAAAATTGTAAAAAAAAAAAAATAAATAAATAAATATATATATATATATATATATATATATATATATAAGCAGTAATATAAACATATGACTAAATTACAGTTCTAACATTTTTTTTTATTTTTTTATATAATGATAAAATATAATAAAATACAATACAATAACCCATCTTAGAAAAACATTCAGCATCTAATGGCAGTGGGGAAGAAACTGTTGTGAAATCTGCTGGACCTGCATCCATTGCTGTGAAGCCTCTTCCCAGAGGGCAGCAGGGAGAACAGTCCATGGTCGGGGGTGAGGGGTCGTTTTTGACAGAGGTCTTCAACAGGGGGTCCGCGACCCCTAGGGGGTCCGCGGAGGTATTGCATGGGGGTCGAGAAAGTCTTGGTTGATTACTTTTTTTTATATTCCCTCCTGCAATTTTTCGCACTAATTAAAATGTCTTTAAATCCACATGAACATGAATTCAACAGACTGTAGTAAACAGATAAATGGAGGCAGAAGATGTCTTTCAGTCATCAATGCTCACATTCAGTGACACACAAGAGCTCTTTCAAGCTGGGAACCATTTCATTCACAACACCTGTCCCATCAACCAGGAATCAGATTCAGAAATACTTTAGTAATCCCAGGGAGGGATTACTTTCGTTACATGACTCCATCTGTAATAGAGTGACTTTAGGACCAGTTTGATAGAACACTATTTCATACAATGTATATAATTAGGGGGTCCCCGCTCCATCTCGCAATCAGTTTGGGGGTCCTTGGCCTCGAAAATGTTGAAGAGCCCTGGTTTATGATGTTATGGGCTCGGGACACGCAGAGCTGGGATGAAATGTCTTTTAATGGAGGGAAGAGGAGCCCCCATGATCCTCTCTGCTGTTCTCACCTTCTTCCAGTCTGAGGCGCTGCAGCCTCCACACCACACAGTGAGACAGCTGGTCAGAACGCTCTCTATGGTGCTGCTGGAGAAGGAGGGGAGGATGGGTGGGGGCAGGTGGGCTCTCCTCGTCCTCCAAGTTGTCTTGGTTTCACTGATTTTCGTAATTTGTTGTGTTTCCATAGAGGGGACGGAAATCAATAAAAGATAGGGAGTAATAAAAAGGTTTTGGGATTTTTTTTTTAGCTAAAAATGATTGATTGATTTAAGCTAAATATGGTCAGTGATGATTATGATGTCTAGAATGAATGGAAATCCTCCAACAGAGATGTGCCGTATGGTAGGCTGGTCCAGGGCTGCAAAGTGTTGGTAGATACCTGGCAGCAGAATCACTCTGGATACAAAACCTTCTTCATGGAGTTAGCATGCATGCTTGAGATCTCTCCAGGTACTCTGGCTTCCTCCTAATGAAAAATATTTTCCTTATTTTAGGTAAGAATTTGTGGATGAATTTACCCAGAGCCCGTCCCCGTTAAAATATATGAAACTATTTTTGATGTATTAGTATATAGCTGTGTTATATATACTAAAAATACCAAAATCAGGTTGATTATGATAAGATAAGGCTATTTAAACATCTGTCCTGTTAGTGTTTTAAATCATCCTTTTTGAGCCTAGATAGAACCTCAGCACAGGGGGCGCCATGACCTGGCATAAACAGACATGGCGCCATCTAGAGGCAGTACAGCTGAACTACCAGAAAGTCAGATGGGGGGCCAATGGTGCCGCTACTAAATAAGTCTTTACAGTGCTGTAATGCCTTGCTGAATAATGAAAGATTGGAGGATAGGGCTTAAAGTGTTGCTAACAGCAGTAGCATTATTAGCTAGGACATGTCTACCAACTTTACAGCGACACCAGGATGCTTCCTGAGCTTTAGCTCCAGCCTTAATGATCATAACAGTCAGACTGTTTTTCCCAGTTCAACTCAAGTATTTTCCCTCTTGGAATAAAACATCCTTTTGCACCTTTTTGCTCTTGATCTTGGACTTTTTTTTTCTTTTTTGCAACTACTGTGGGATTCCCAAGCTCGCTTGCCTCCATTGCTTCGGCATGTTGACCAATTGTATGCATGTGCAGTGACATAATCCCGGTCACAAGATGTAATGGTGAATATTAGGGGTGTCCCGATACAACTTCTTCTTTTCCGATACCATACCGATATTGCATCTTGAGAATTGTCTGATACCGATATTGACTCAATACGATATTGACCCAAATTGTTCCAGGTTTTATTACTTATTTTATAAAAGTGGAATGTTAGAAAGGATTGATGAAATAGTATAATTAAAACTGGAAACAAAAGTCAGCGATAAAAGGTACTTTAACAGAAGCAAAGTGTTTCTATCAGCCTGAAATTGTCTGAGGTGTTATATGTCGGCTGATAAAATCTGATAAGAATTTTTTATGCTAAAATCAGACCTGATATTAATAACCTTGGTAAATTTACACAGAAAGGCTAAATTTGCAAAGTGAACAAAAATAAAATTCAAAAATAACACACTATGCCAGCAAAATGTCGTAGTTTGTCATGAAATCATTGTAGGAAGTTATGGCTGAATATATCTTTATCTTATCTTTACAAATAAAATGATGATATACCTTTTAATTTAATTAACTGCTTAAGTTATTTTGTTAAAATGCTAAAAGCTATATTTGTTTGTTTGAATTAGGGATTTCTTTATCCAGTATTGATTATAGGTCACATACCAGCCAAAAAATAAAAATCAGATTTTATCAGCAGATTTTCCTCTAACCTCTTCTGTTGAAAAAACTCATTGGTTAGAAATAAATTGGTCAGCTGTTCACACTTCAAAATAAGTAATAACACGATGTAGGATTCTTTCCAATATCGTATTTTATTTGGTCATTAAAGCTGCAATATCTTCATCGCATCACAAATGAAAAGTTTTATTGGAAAATTCCCAGTTTTCATTAAGAGTTTGTGTGAATTGTTTTATCTTACAGAGAATACAAATCAAAGTAATTTATCTGATTTTCAAGGCAATATTTCTTTTTACAAATATGGTTCTCAAAAGTTATTCAGAATATTTTTTGAGTGTATGCCACTCTTTCTTTCTTATATCTGATGCTTTATGGCTCTTTCTCTTCCCTCCACAGCCCAGTATGTCTCAGGAACCCAGCGTGGTCTTCTCACAGAACACCTCCACAGGGGGAATGAAGCTGGAGGCAGTGATGGAGCAGCTCCAGCGCCAGCAGCAGGCCCGCCTGGAAATGGAGAGGAAGGAGCGGAAGCTGCGAGAGGCTCACATCATGTACGCTCAGCAGGTGGCTGCCCAGCAGGCCATACTGGCTGCAGCCCGGGCTTCCGGGGCCAACTTTATGGGCAAAGGCATTACCGGAGGCGTTCCTGCCGGCGGCTTGCCTCCTCGCGTGTCCAATCAGAGCAGTGTAGACTCAGAAAGAGAGGAGGATGAGGACAGAGGCCGGGATTCTGGCGACGAGGACGATGACAATGAGATGATGGAAGGGGATGAGGGCAGCGATACGGACGAGGGAAGCGCCAGTGGTCTGGAGTTCCTCCGCAAGCAGACGTTGGCTCTGCAACAGAGCGCCTCGCGCATCCCTGCTCGTCCGTTTGCGGGGTACTCAATGTCGGCCCCCCAGAAGGCCGCCTCCCCGTCCATTAGAGTGAAGCAAGAACCCGATGAGGGCCTGTCTCCCGCTGGGCCAAACTCCTCTACCTCTCCTAATGGACAGGCCGACTGGGGATTCGATGACCACTTCAGACAGGTTAGTGGGACTCCTTGCTGGAAATTGAGCCCTCCTTTCAAAAACCCTTGTTTTGGTCTCATTACCTCTAATCATGGGTCTCTAAGCACATTTCTTCCTTTTAATCCTTTTATTTTTGGAGCTTAGTTCAGTTTCCTTGTTATCCAACCTGCTGGGAAACAGCTTCATCTTGACAGTGTCGCTCCCTGCTCCAGCAGTGTCTCACTGAAACACTTGAAATCTCCACAGGGGTTGACCGCCGATAGGCTTTTGCGGTCGGCAGGGAAAGAAAAAAAAGCCTCTTGAGTGAGTGTTGGCAGACTGCCAGGCCAAGGTGCAATGTGTTCACGCTTACCAGTTTTCTCCTCTCACACTCGCATTTTGAGTGTGTGTATCTTGCTCTTTGTCCCTCTTGGCGTTTTGCTCGTTGCTCTCTGGTTTGGCTCTGGTCCAAGCGGCGCTGCGGCTCCGAGGCTGTGGGTGGCTGCCCGGGGTCAGCTGGATGATTTTTGGGTGGGTGGAAAGGTTGGATGTAGTACACGGTAGCAGCCACCCCAAGAGGTTCGGCAGTGTGCCAAGTGGACTTTCCCTTGAAGTTAAATATTGCCTCAGCACCACGTTACAGAACACTGTCATGTCAGGAGGGATGTGGGCCAAGCGCCATGTGCTTAAACATCAGCGCTGCAGACGGAGCAGGTTAACCAGAGAGCCTGTAAGGAATATAAAAAAAAAGCTGTAGCTGAAAACGGTGCAGGAAGACGTCGCTGTGATCAGACAGCAGGCAAAATCTTAATAAATACATTGATTATAATATCTATAATAACGTAATTTGTTTTATTTTTCTCAATATACACTATATTGCCAAAAGTATTTGCTCACCCATCCAAATTATTGGAATCAGGTGTTCCAATCACTTCCATGGCCACAGGTGTATAAATTCAAGCACCTAGGCATGCAGACTGTTTTTACAAACATTTGTGAAAGAATGGGTCGCTCTCAGGAGCTCAGTGAATTCCAGCGTGGAACTGTGATAGGATGCCACCTGTGCAACAAATCCAGTCGTGAAATTTCCTCGCTCCTAAATATTCCACAGTCAACTGTCAGCTGTATTATAAGAAAATGGAAGTGTTTGGGAACGACAGCAACTCAGCCACGAAGTGGTAGGCCACGTAAACTGACGGAGCGGGGTCAGCGGATGCTGACGCGCATAGTGCGAAGAGGTCGCCAACTTTCTGCAGAGTCAATCACTACAGACCTCCAAACTTCATGTGGCCTTCAGATTAGCTCAAGAACAGTGCGCAGAGAGCTTCATGGAATGGGTTTCCATGGTCGAGCAGCTGCATCCAAGCCATACATCACCAAGTGCAATGCAAAGCGTCGGATGCGGTGGTGTAAAGCACGCCGCCACTGGACTCTAGAGCAGTGGAGACGCGTTCTCTGGAGTGACGAATCGCGCTTCTCCATCTGGCAATCTGATGGACGGGTCTGGGTTTGGCGGTTGCCAGGAGAACGGTACTTGTCTGACTGCATTGTGCCAAGTGTAAAGTTTGGTGGAGGGGGGATTATGGTGTGAGGTTGTTTTTCAGGAGCTGGGCTTGGCCCCTTAGTTCCAGTGAAAGGAACTCTGAATGCTTCAGCATACCAAGACATTTTGGACAATTCCATGCTCCCAACTTTGTGGGAACAGTTTGGAGCTGGCCCCTTCCTCTTCCAACATGACTGTGCACCAGTGCACAAAGCAAGGTCCATAAAGACATGGATGACAGAGTCTGGTGTGGATGAACTTGACTGGCCTGCACAGAGTCCTGACCTCAACCCGATAGAACACCTTTGGGATGAATTAGAGCGGAGACTGAGAGCCAGGCCTTCTCGTCCAACATCAGTGTGCGACCTCACAAATGCGCTTCTGGAAGAATGGTCCAAAATTCCCATAAACACACTCCTAAACCTTGTGGACAGCCTTCCCAGAAGAGTTGAAGCTGTTCTAGCTGCAAAGGGTGGACCGACGTCATATTGAACCCTATGGATTAGGAACGGGATGTCACTTAAGCTCATATGTGAGTCAAGGCAGGTGAGCAAATACTTTTGGCAATATAGTGTATTTTGATTTTGATACATAAACTTCAGTAGAGATACAGGAAAAATACTTGAGGCTGGTTTAGTCTTGAGGCGTATTTGACCTCCATCCAATTCCCTTTTCTGTATCTAGGAAAACTTGTTGCTTCATAGACAGTTTCACGTGGAAAACACGTTGGAAAAAAAGACAGCTTCTCCTGGCGAGGGCTCCTAAACATAAACTTCACCCCAATTAACAGACTTTGAGCAAGTCTCAGTCTCTCTGATAATGATGGTTTTTAATTCAATATTTAAGTGGATTTTGGCCAATAGTTATCAGAAACTTAGACAATATTTGGGTTTTTCTGGCTGATATTTGTGGTTTTTGGCTGATATTTATCAGCTATTTGTGTTTCTGTTTGTAGCATCAGTAGGTATGTGCATGTGGTTTACTGATTCATTAAGATAATGTGAAGCACATGCATTCCCTCCATTTGCTTTCTATTAAAGTTTTGTTTGATTGTTAATTGTTCATTTTTATCATTGTTCTATTTTTATTATCTAAAAAGAGGAAGAAAAAGCAAAATCTGCTTTTTATATATATATATATATATATATATATATATATATATATATATATATATATATATATACATCCCCCATCTAGGGTCCACCAGTTCATAGCTGTATATTGGTTATTTATTCTCCAGGTGCACAGTTTTATATTGTTAAAACACTTTTCAGTACAGTATTTTATTGTTTATCTTTTAACTCTTCACTAGTATGTAAACATTTTCTAAGGTCCTTATTTGTGTGACCATTTTTTTCTATTATCTCTATTGCTGTAAACACCAGAATTTCCCCATTCTGGGACAATAAAGGGATTTTCTATTCTAGTTCACTATATCAACATCATTAATATATAAATGAAAGGCTATATATGTTAACTTTAGTTAGGAGGTGAATAGGTGATCCAAGCTTTGTGGTAATCAGGTAATCATTTTAGTGCTTCAGAGAAAAAAAAAATTAGATTAGATTAAAACCTTTTTAAACATCACATTTATATCCTGCTTTTTTATCCGGGATACAATTATTAACCATTGGCAGCTATGTGGATGAGTTTTACTGTGGGATTACGGAGCAGTATCTCCAGCAGCACTGTGTTGTTTTGGTAAATATACACAGAGGAGCCTTATTTACTTACAAGATAAGCCAAAACAAAGCGCAAAATACAAAAATAACAAATAGTGCGGCAGTGTGATGCGGTAACCTTTAGAAAAACCGTATGCATTTAAGAAGATGTTGTATGACGCGAGTATGCTCATTTAAAACAATTGTTTGTGAGGATGTCTGTGAGGCAGCTAACTGCAGCTTTAACTGAGTAGATAAACCAAATTATCCAGCTAATACCAGCTCATTATACTCCTACTGTTACTCTATACCAGGACAGACTGGGAATAAAGTATTCAAACTTTTCCATACTTGTTCAGGCAGAGTGAGTGTCTCCTACCTGCTCTACCCTAAAAGACACCATCTGAGCTGGAAGCTTTGTGCCTCTTTAGTGAGACTCAAACGTGGGCAGAAATGGCTGCTTGTCATCTCAGTGCGAATTGGTAACGAAGTGAAGGAGACTCGGAGGTGGTCACAGAGCCGGGTTCACCACTAGGTGTGAAGTGTGGGAAATGGCGTGAACATGGCACTATTCTATCTAACGGTATTGCTGTCATCCGCAGCGTCTGTAATGCCAGCTGCAGTTGTTGTAGCGCAGTGTGTCAGGGAGACGTTCAAACCTCGCCTCTGCATGCTGGGGCTATTTTGACACTGTTGAAAATCAAAGGGGTTCATTTTGCTTTCCATTTTCTTTTTTTATGTGACTAAATAAAAAATGTTAGCGCTCTCATGAGTCTTTCTGGATTTGTTGACCCATACACTGCAAAAATGATCTCAAAATGAGTAAAAATGTCTTAAATTAAGGGTTTTTACCCTTAATTTGAGCAGGTAAATAAGATGATTTGCCAATGGAATTAGTATTTTTACTCTTAAAATAAGTTATCTACATGCCCTTGAAATAAGACAGTGCAATTGTTTTTTCTTATTTTAAGTGTAAATTGTCTTGTTCCATTGGCAAAGGGTCTCACTTAAATCCTTAATTCAAGAAAAAATGCACTTATTTTAAGAAGAAATGACTTATTTGGATTTCATTTTTTTCCGGTGTATAAATTGGGTTTCTTGTTTAAAGACTAATTGATATATTTTTTTTCCACACATAATGCTGTTCTTTTTTCACAATGAAGAGTTTGTGTCTTTTAGAACCGTGGGATATGGAAAAAGTTCTTTTGAAGAGCAAAACTATGATTTAACACCAACAACAGAAGTGTTTATTTTATTGAGAAAGGCTTTTTTTGTGCATATTTTCTCTCTGTAAACTGAAAGGGCATATGTGAAAGCTGGAAACTGGAGATATATGGAGTGAATTTTGTTCCGTTATTATTTCAAGCAAAGACCACATTCTTTTTATATGGAAAAAAAAAAAAAAAAATCAATCCAGAAATTAAAATTTTGAAATAAAATAATTAAAATGGGGTTTTTATTAAGTAGCTTGACTGTTTTTCTCAGATTTAAATTTTCAAATAAATTTTAAATATTCAGCTTGGGGATTGCTGTCCGGTGTTGCTACTTTTTAAAAGTGAAATGTATTGTTTTTTGTTTAAAATGAAACTTGTGTAACATTTGTTATCATTGTGTTGCTTTGATCGAGTAAACGGAGGAAGAAAACACAACATTGGCAATAAGAAGCCAGCAGAAGGGCAGCAAGTATGGAGGATCAGTTGGACTTAAAAGCCTCTGTTCTCTAGTTGTCTTTTGCTTAACTTTTTGTTGTAGCGGTTCTTTTTAATGGTCTGCTCTTTCATATGGGTGTGTTGTTCATGCATGCTTGGCAACAGGCACCAAAAGATTATTTGTGG